ACCCCACCCAGAGTGCTGCATCCAGATCTGGGTGTTCAGCACAGGAAGGACACTGACATGTGGGAGCGAGTCCAGAGAAGGGCCACAAAGATAATTAGAGGGATGGAGCACCTCCTCTATGAGGAAAGACTGAGAGAGTTTGGATTGTTCAGCCTGGAGAAGGAAAGGCTCTACTTGCAGCTAATGCAAAACCAGCTTGAATTCAGCCAGAGGATTTGCAGACCCCTGCTTCCTAAAAATTGTATGTTCAGTAGAAAGGTTTTTGGTTTGGTTTTTATTTTGTGAGATGCCATATCTGGAGGAAGAAGCTTGCTGGGGAATGACAACAGGGCTGTGAGGGAGGAGGACTGCATGGAGGACTGGAGTGGGAAGAGGAGAAGCTCTGGTGGATTTGGAAAGACGTTGAGGAGGCAGTACTCCATCTAAATGAAAAGACTGGTCAGTCTTGGTAAAGAGAATCTTTCTGATGGGAAGTCTGGATGTGCAGCACAAGCCAGGAAAGCACCAGACAGATTAGGGTTATGTAGAAGGCCCATGGCTGGGCTATCTCTTACCCTGCTTGCATGCCTGTTCTGATGTGGATTTCTGGAGTCTCCTCTCACTTAGACCAAGAAGTAATGTTTGTGACTGCTGCAATTTAGTTGGAGACATGCTGTTATATTCCTCACAAAATGACAAATCCCGTGTTTATTACCAGCTATACAGGTGTATAATCCATTTGCACTTTTATCTGTTAGGTTCTGCTAGGTTCCTTGCCTTTGTTGCGATTGAATATACTATCATTTCCCTGTTATGCCCTGTGTCTGACTTTGTATAAGATTAGGGGGGTGTTTCAGAATCGTAGAATCATTAAGGTTGGAAGAGACTTTCAAGATCATCCAGTCCAACCATCAATCCAGCACTGCCACTGTAACCCCTTAACCATGAAACCACATCACCCAGCACCAGATCCAGACACCTCTTAGACACCTCCACGGATGGTGCCACCACCACCTCTCTGGGAAACCTATTCCAATGGCTAGCCACTTTAACTCTGAGTTTTTTTCTAGTATCTAATGCGAATCTCCCCTGTCTCAGGATAAGGCCATTTCCTCTAGTCCTCTCACTGCAGGCACAACAGAAGAGGCTGACTCCCAGCTGGAGGTTGTAACCTCCTTTCAGGGAGTTGTAGAGAGTGACTAGGTCCCCCCTGAGCCTCCTCTTCTAAACAAACCCAGCTCCCTCAGCCATTCTTAATGACACATTTTCTAGACCCTTCACAAGCCTTATCCTCCTTTTCTGGATACACTGCAGCACTTCAATGTCCATTTTAAAGTGAGTAGTCCAGAACTGAAAACAGTACTCAAGGTGTGGCCTCACACCTTGAACGATCACATTAGGGAACAATCACTTCCCTAATCCTACTGACCACACCACACTGTTGCTGATAAAGATCAAGATGCCATTGGCCTTCTTGGCCACCTGGGCACACTGCTGACTCACCTTTTTGCCAAAGAGCTCTGGAGACACTCCCCCCCCAGCCTATAGCACTGCATGGGGTTGCTGCAAGCCAGGTGCGGGACCCGGCACTCCCCTTGTTGAACCTCACACATTTGTCCTTAGCCCATTTATCAAGTCTGTCCACATCTCTCTGTAGAGCCTTCCTGCACTCGAGCAGGTCAACAGATCAACACACCCACACTTTAGGGGGTTTCTTCGTGTAGGAAACACCAAGGTCTAATTTTTTTTTTTTTTTTT